GACCGTTATAATCCTATAACGGTCTCTTCCTTATTTGGTTTACGTGTCTTCTGTGTGAGAATTTTTTTCCTTGAACTATGTACATATTGCCAATTCTTTTCTCAATTATCCCTTGTTCCCAGCAAGAGATATTATTTTTGTATGCATTAAAAAAACAACTTTTTCCCCTGGGAGGAATTTTCTGTTTGGTGTGTAGGATTGTGTTACTGGTTTTGTTTTACTTGGTAGTAATTTATCGAATGCTGATCTGATTTTCCTAGCAAACATGATATCTGCTGGTGATAATGTTGATGGTGTCGCATTATTTGGCGTTATTCTATATACCTGTAGGAATTGCTGTAATGCTTTTTCCGTAGGCATATCGTACGCTTTTCGTAATGCTCTTTTGAGAGTATCCACGAATCTCTCCGCTTGTCCATTTGATCTTGGATGGTAAGGCGGGGATTTTATATGTTTTACTTGATAGATTTCGCAAAACTCTTGGAAATCTGCTGACGTGAATTGCGTTCCGTTATCTGTTACTAAACAGTCCACTACGCCAAACCGAGCGAATAGCTCGTGGAGGAAATTTATGGTCGTTTCTGTAGTAGGATTTTTGCATCGAAACACCTCCGGCCATTTACTGTAGCTATCAACTATGATTAAATAGTAGAACCCGTCAATTGGTCCTGCATAATCTGCGTGTATTCTTGACCATGGGCGATCAGTTTCAGGCCAAGGCTTATGTATGATTGTCGGTGCTTTAGCTGCTAAATTACAACCTTTGCACATTTCCACCATTTGAGAAATATCCTGGTCCATAATTCTTCCAATATACATAGCTTCGCATTAGCGACTTCATTCTATTTTTACCCGGGTGTCCTCTGTGGAAATCCTTTAGTATCCGTTTTTGTAAAGTTTTGGGGATTACAACCCTTTCGTTGTAAAGTAGCACATTATCGCGTAGAGAAAAGCTGTCCGAAATTTCACCCTCGAATTTTATCTTTCTCCCCGTAACTGATCTCGCAATTTTATCCGTTTATTAACATGGCAGGTTTGTTCAGTTTTCTCCATGTTTGTAGATTTATGATAGTTAAGTCTGAGCCAGAATCCAGCTGTAACCTAACTTTTCTGTTTTGCATTTCAACTTGTACATATTTTCTTAAATTAGTCTCAACTGTTTTGTCGGTCCTCGTAATTCTTATTCTGCTTTCTTTTCTATATCAACAATGAGAACTTTTATGACCAATTTTTTACATGCTAGACAAGTTTTAGCACGATATGTCCAGTCTTTAACCCAATGCCAAGACCCTCAACGATAGCATGGACTTGGTGGTAGTTTCTTTTTATGTTGATTATAATTAGAAAATTTTGTTTTACCTGTTCTTGAGGCGGGAAAATCAATTTGGTTTGTTTGTGAGGAGGGAAAATTTGTTTACTTTGTTTGTGAGGAGGGAAAATTTGTTTGACTTCGTACTTTGCGTATGTATGCTGTGCCAGCTTTTTCTATCTCTTTAGAGTCTTTTTTTACGCTGACGCATCTCTGGCAGTCTTCGGCTAGTTTTTGAAGTGTCAGATCTTGTTCATTTTCCAATTTAGTAAGTATTCTACGTCTCATTTCTGCGTCTTTGGTTGAAACCAGACCTTGGACGTAAATTAAGCATTTGAAGTTGTCAGCGCTGAGTTCCGATAATTTGAAGTCGTCACACTATTTGTTAACAATGGATGCGAAAGTTACGTAATCTTCGCTATCCTTTTTTGTAAGGTTCATGCATTTCCATCTTTTATGAAATAGTGAAGTATTATGGCCGAAAAGTTCCGTTAGCAATTTTATAGATTCTTTGAACGTTAACTCGCTTGTTTTTCTGGGAAGGACATAATCAACGAATTTGGTATATTTGCCGGTGCCTAATTTTCTTAATAAAAGGCGTAGTTTACGTGCGTCTGACCAGATCTTCATACCTTTGGAAGTAATTTGCAAAAGTTTTATCTTCGTCGGGTGCGTACTTGAAATCTTCGATATTACTCCAAATAGCGTCTTGAGAGAGAACTGATTCATTCTCGGGTTTTTGCTCTTTATTTGCCATTACACGTATCAATAATTCTTGCATTTCCAAATGTTTCTGTTCGTACCTTTGTTGTTGTTCAAACTGGATTTTGATAAGTTCCATAATGGTTGACTTAAAATCTTCCATGAAGTTACACAAAAAATTTTTTTTTTTAAACCGATATTCTGTAGCCTTTTTCTCGCAAAAAACTTTCCTTTGTTGCCAGTGAAATTTGATATCAAGAAAAGAAAATTTTTCTTTTTCTTTTTTAGAATTTAATCGTCGTCCACTGTTACGTACAACGGATAGCAAAAAAAAAAAAAATGTCCTCCGAGTAGGGAGTATATTTTTCTTTAAGGGTTTTCCAGATCTCCACTTTTTATGTGTGACGCATAGAAAAAAAAGTCCTCCGTGTCGAGTTCGTATTTCCTTTTTAGGGGTTTCTTCGTCGTCACTTGTTATGTTGACGAGAGAGGATTTTGTTGTTTGTTCTTCACGTGTGAGTTCGAATCTTCGTCGCCACTTGTTATGCGCGACGGAAAGCAAAAAAAAAAAAGATATCTCCTCCGCGTAGAGAGTTGGTTTCCTCGTCGCCACTGTTATGCTGTGGCGAACAATTTTTTTTTTTCTCTTCCACCGAATGAGTTCGAATCGCTCGTCGCCACTGTTATGGTCCGGTTCCTTGTACCACGGTGATAGTCCAAGGTAGAACCAATAAAGATGAACTCGAACACGGATATGGAATAACACAGATATATTAGAAACAGGAATATATACAGAGAAGTAGAAAGTGTTAGTACGAACAATCAGGTTTAGTAGTAATTGTCTGAACGCGACTTTATTTTGGACTGCCTCTGACTCGACTGACTGATTGACTCGCTCTGACTGACTGACAGACTCCTGACGGACTTCCCTCCAGACTTCAGACTGATCTCCCTGCTTCCTCTTGAGGAGCAGTATTTATTACGTATGGAATAGTCCATTATGTTATTATAGGTAAGGTCCCACAACGATATATATATATATATATATATATATATATATATATTAACAGATTGAAAATATGTTTTTTTCGCTACAAATTAATAACCATGTTTCACAAATGGAAGCTAAAATTTTAAATTTAATTATATAATTAAATTAAAAGCATTAGTTCCGTTTCATCTTCAAGCGAATGTTGGAATAAAAAAAATAAAAAAAAGTTATTCCAAACACAAAGATGAAGACAATAGTCCGAATAATGTAAATAGTGTACATAATACCTCATCACAGAAATATAGACAGACTACCTACGTAGTCTTAGACTCAGGGATATTTCATCTACCTTTCTTTTCACAATAAGATTTTAACATAATTTATAGCGTTCTATGCGTTTTTTTCTATGTTACTTCTGTTTATAAATACAGGCTACCAAATAAAATTTCTAACTTTTGCGATGATAATGTTTGTCAAGGAACAAAAAGAGTTGGCATAAAATTTTTATCCTTTTCTTTTTGAAATTTATATTGTCTTTACAATATCTGTTCATGCATACATCACTTTTGTTATTAAATAAAAAAAGAAACAGGAACTAAATAAAATCAGCTATATTTTTAAAAAAATAATGGAAACCTGTCTGTGTCTACTTTTCTTCGTGCTCATGTGCAGTCGCATCAACACCAACAACACATTAGTCCAATGAAGTCAGAAAGGACGAAACGCTTCAAACGAAAACGTTTTCAGCTGTGTCACATTTTCTTCCATAATATATAATATAATAAACAGTGAGAAACAGAGGCATACTGATATATATATATATATATATATATATATATATAGATAGATAGATAGATAGATAGATAGATAGATAGATAGATAGATAGAAAGAAAGAAACAAATTTGGTAGATAGACAGAGAGAGAGAGAGAGAGAGTTTTAGATAGGTAGATAGATAGATAAAACAGATTTAGATATAGATAAAAACAAATTTAGATAGATACATACATACATAGATAAAAAACAGATTTAAATAGATAGATAGATAGATTTAGATAAATAAGTATGAACAGGCTGAGATAGACAGACAGATAGATAGATAGATACATACATACATACATACATACATACATACATACATACATAAAACAGATTTAGATAGAGAGATAGATTCATGAAAATAGATTTAGATAAATACATAAATAAAAATAAATTTAGATAGATAGATAGATAGAATTAGATTTAGATAGGTAATATATATATGAACAGACTGTGACAGATAGATAGATAGATAGATAGATAGATAGATAGATAGATATCTGTTTATTTAGATAGATAAATACATAGATAAGGAAGAGTATCAGATAGATAGATAGATAGATAGATAGATAGATAGATAGATAGATATAAACAAACTTGAGTGTATATCACAAATGAAAAATTAAAAAGGTAAGCATATAGTCTTGTTAACACTTGTGTAAATAGGTAAACACAAGACAGTATGCAACCATCTACTCTGAAGATGGTCTCTATAAAGAGGAAATGTAGTCGGCATTATGTAAACCCAGCCGACCGGACAAATATATAACTTGACTATAATAGATATATAGGGATGACATAGATAGACAGATAGATAGATAGATAGGATCAGATAGGGAGATACAGGATAGATAGATAGATAGATAGATAGATAGATAGATAGATAGATAGATAGATAGATAGATATTGCAGTACATTCTTGTTGAGCACTGGTTAATCAAATGTCATTGCATGTTATTACTACTGTAGGAATTCGCACACATTAGGTGCTCCATTCTTAGAGCCTTGTGTCACACTACCTGAAGTTTAGCAAATATCAATTGAACAATGTTGGAAGATGGAAAGAAAAAATGGAACAAAAAACAAAAACAAAAAAAACAAAAGCAAACAAGCAAGAAAGAAAAAGAAAGAAAGTGTTGACAAGTCACAAGGAAGAGCGGAAGGCGGAAGAAGAATAGTATTAAAAAAGAAAGAAAGAAAGAAAGAAAGAAAGAAAGAAAAATGAAAGAAAGGGCTTATAAGTAACAAGGAAGGACGGAAGGAAGAATAGTATTAAAGAAAGAAAGAACGAAAGAAAGAGAGAAAAAAAAGAAAGAAATGGCTGAAAAGTAAAAAAAAGAACGAAAATAGGAAGAAAGAAGGAACAGTTTTGAAAAGAAAGAAAAAAGAAAGAAAGAAGGAGCTGACAAGTAACAAGGAAGAACGGAAAGAAGAATAGTATTAAAGAAAGAAAGAAAGAAAGAAAGAACGAAAGAAAGAAAGAAAGAACGAAAGAAAGAAAGAACGAAAGAAAGAAAGAAAGAAAGAATGGACGAAAGAAAGAAACAAAAAAAGAAAGAAACAAAAAAAGAAAGAAACAAAAAAAGAAAGAAAAGAAAGAAATGGATGAAAAGTAAAAAGAAAGAACGAAAATAAGAAAGAAGTAAGAGTTTTGAAAAGAAAGAAAAAAAGCAAGCAATGGAAACAACTAATGTGTTGAAGACAAATGAACATCGCAAAGAGACAAGGACAGAATGGAAGTCGGTTGCCTCCAGAGAGGAACACTGCCGTTGAGATTAGAAATGCATAGGCGTTTTGGAAATGTACGCCGTGGGAAATCTTTTAATAGAATGGCGTCCACGTTTGCCTGATGAATCTTTAAAGGGAGTCGGAAAATTGCTTTTGCGCGCGAAAACTGCCCGTTAATTCGGTGGTTTGTGAGGAGAATGGACGACTGGTCGAGCGCCCAGCTGACTGCAATGACCTTCTGACTATTTTCGCGGGAGCTTATTTCACCGGCCTCTTTGATTGGCTGATTCTTTAGCGGATGCGTCTTTCTGGTTGGTTGTCTCGTTTGCTGGCATTGAAGAGTTTATATTATATTATCAGGGATAATCGATACAGGCCAATTGAGCTCGCTCTCTGACTCTGAGGGTTCAATTCAGTTCTATTTGCTCGCCCCATTCAACCTGAGGCATCGATTTCTCACCTCAGAAATAATACCGAACAAAATTCCCTTTCTACAAATATTCATAATATCAATAAAATAAACATAAGGAACGAAACGCTTTGGCATAAAAGTGTTTCTCTGAATATTTTGATTGTTGTTTCACTTTATTAGCATTTATCTCTGATTTGCTTGTTAGTCACGAATTTAATTAATAAATGAATTATTCAAACCAACGTCCTGAACATTTTCCATTCGATCACGACTTTTCAGCCCATGAGATTTCGAGTCTTTGTCCACTGTTTATCGAATTTGGTAGGTTTCCGATTTCATTTCTCGCATGTCAGACAACAAAGATTTATTGGACAGCGAAAATCACAGAAGAAGAAAACTTAATAACTGCCCGATGCGTAATCATCCTCATCATCAATTCCATGACCGGGCGTGGTCGTAGGGTCGCTGCGCAGCAGAGAACCTGACTTCACTCCACATATAAGGGTTGAAAGACGGAGAGTTATTTATTTATACGAAGGTTTTCTCGGGGAAGTAGATCTGGCGAAGTCCATCCTTCGCCAAGTTAAGACACAGCCGATGTATAGCAACTTGAAAGCTCGCCTCGATTACGGACAGGTTGCTGTTGATTTAATTACGGTATTCCCCCCCCGGCCATATAGCTGTTGATTTCAGTCTAAGAAAGCCTCAGTCCAACAATGACATGACGTCATCGTACTGGCTGAATATATAATTGGAACCGAATCTACCCCATTCAGGTAGAGGCTCGTTAACCCTACGAGAACGACGTTCCAGTTTTCTTTCTTTTTTGTTACGTTGTTTCTGTCCAATTTTGCTTTCACATCTCCACTTTTCTTTCTTTCTTTTTCTTTCTTTTTTCCATCCTTTCTTTCTTTCTTTCTTTCTTTCTTTCTCTCTGTGTATTTTTAAATTTCTTATTTCTATTTCTTCTGTCTTTTGGAAGCAACCTACAATCTTGCAGGCACACAGAATGTGGAATTAAAATTCCATATTCATTATCATTGATAAAGAAGAGGTTGTAACAGATTTTGCGTAATGATGGCGATCTTTGGGGTGATCTTGTATTTCTCAAAACGTCCAAGGGTTAACCTAACAGACGTCATTTTCAACGATACAAAAATAAAACAAAACAGCAAACTACATACCAAACTTTTTGGCTTGTCTGAAAACCCAGTTCTTCTGTTAAAAGGTTCAGATCGCTAACCTGAAGTCATGTAGTTGGATTTGCCTCTACAGATGGATATGAAGACAGGTTGACTGGTCTCTAACCAGATTGACGAAGGAAGGAAAAAAAGGTAGGAAGAGAAGAGAAATATTGAAGGAATTTCGATCTTGAGAAGCGGACCAACCGACTGTCTGGTTGATTGGCTTATATCTTTAGTTCTTTTATTTATTCATTCAAGCCACAATCTTGTCAGACATCTTGTAATTACGCTTTCGGATTCTGGGTGTCAAGCAGATCACGGAATTTATCGGCAAATCTCATTGCACCACGACCACTGCTCAGGAGAGACGAGATTCCTGGCAAAGGCCGTAATCTGTCTACAATTCAGACCCAGGATTTGCATTTTGTTAGTCTTATCAACCACTTCCACGGACATTACACACGGTTTCTCATTTCTTCTTTCATTTTCTTCATCATCTTGTCTTTTTCTCTTTCCCACGTAAGCAATTGCCACATATATTCGTAATTAGTTGATTTTATCTATAGAGATATTCTGACATTTTGGGGATCTAGAGATCACGTTAATTTGAATTCGTGTATTGGTCGATACCAGCATTTAAGGCTAAAAGAATAACAATATTTACAATTTAATCCATTATGTTAATTTGCAACGTAAACAACGTAATTTTCGCTAAATATACGCTACTTGCTTAGATTTTGCCTTTAAAATATTGTTTAAATAACTTTGCAGTTACTTTGTGCATTCATACTTCGTTTTAACGGATAAAAAGGGCAACACCAGTCCGATAATGCCAATTGTCTATAGTTACCAACACAAAGTCTATAGTGGCTAATATCAGTAAATACATTACGAAAGACAGAGGAATAATTATAGATTTAGTCTGACATTTCAAAATACCTCTACACTGTAAATATAAACTATTTTGTGTTACTGTTAAATTCACTCTTTTCCGCTTTTCTAGTCTTCTTTCAGGTGACATGGTTATGGAAAATGATGAATTTTCTCGGGACACCTCCTCCTAATTTTCAAAACTGCTCCTAGGAGACGCTCTCAGCACTATAAATAGACTGCGATAATTTTTCATCATTCTTTTTTGATCTTATTTGCCAACATGTAACTGCTCGCGGAGAACGCGTTCCTCTTGGAAAACGCATGAACAACATACGCAGGCACACACACACACACACGTACGTGCATACGCACATTCACTCACTACACATAATTTTCACCCCAAAAATTTCACTTTTGTTACACACATTATTGACTTTGTCGCTTCTATACCTTTATTGTTAATACATTAACATTTGTTGTAGTATATTTAATTCAAAATTGTGGTTGGATTTATAAATCTGCTGTAGGAGTTGGTTATATAATGAAGGAGACGACAACTCTTTTCAATTTTAACAAATCATTTATACAAAGTAATATCAGAAAAAAATACAGGCTTCAAAAATCCGCGGGAGTGATGGACGATTGTATCCTAAGACTTAAGCGTCTAACTGATAGTTTTAAGCTGGTACACGATCATGGGCTTAGCAGGTAGCCTTGTCAGTTTTTAGTTTTTTCAAATCTAATTGATAACTCTTTCTTGGAGTTCTCCTGTGGACTTTGCTGAATTACTCTAGGGTCTGCTGATCGGTTCTGCCTAACCCCTGCGGTTCTATTTTGTTCGAGCTGCGGCCTTGTTCTCCTCGAAAGCCTCAAAATGCCTGTTTTTTTATAATACTTCGCCTAAAACCTAGTGAGGGTCTGACTAGTATAGAAATATCAACCATTACTTTGTCTCAAATAAGATTTTCCAATTTGGGGCAATTATCCAGTCCCTTAGTGGCAGTGAGAAGGTTAATGCACCCATACAACTTCAACTTGCCTTCTCCAACATCTCCGATCTTCACTCATAGATGGTACCTCCTCTCCTTCCTCCAATTTCCCTTAGAAAGAACCTGTTACTACCTTCTCTGTGCTATCACTAGATCCGGTTGACCAATACATTTCTAGGGACCGCATCAAGGGGCGGTCAAGAACCGTAACTAAAAGCTGACCATCTCAACTCCTTTAAATTTTAGGTGAATTCAATTTATGGAGAAAAAAAATATTATCATCCGGTTACTTCTCGACATCCCCAAAAGTATGAAGAAATAGCTGTATGAATTCATTTTATGGAGAAATCAATTCTCCAGAAAAAAAAGAAAAAACAAATTATTTAATTCTCTTTTTTTTCAGGACACATGCGACGATTCTTCTAAAAACAAAAAGTGCTCAACTCCTATATAAAAACCAATCCTCCTAATTGGCAATGAATGTTTAGGACAATTCCCACCAAAGAGGAAAGAGATGACTGCGAGCAATAAAGATGTGGATCAACAGAAAAATACAGAGAATATCATAGGAAGAGCACTTCCTCTAATCATTATCTTCAAGAGAAAAATTATTATCCAAATCAGCGTCATGTTATAAGCCTGAACGAAACAGATGCTTTTCATGAATCTCCCCCAGTAGGTTTAAATGTGGCCAATCCGGAACACTCAAGTCAAGATTTAAATGTTATCTTAAACTGAGATAATTGATTTCTAGGTCAGCACATCCGGCTGTAGCCGTTAATGTCACACTGCGAGCAATAGTGATGTGGAGCAACAGAAAAATACAGAGAATATCATGGGAAGAGCATATGAACAATGAGGAAGTTTTAAAGGAAAATAGAAACCTTAAGTATATTTGTACACAAAACTGATATTTTCAGGTATCATAAAGAATGGTGATTTTAAGAGAAAATAAAAATTGCGCGAAAAATAAATGTAAACAAACTACGTAGATCAGTTGCGTATACGAAGAAAGATTATGCCGAATTAAGATGTCGAATAAAGATAAAATAATTTTATTATTTCTAAATATTTATAACTTATACGTACATAGTACGTTGAAGGTTAAAGACCGAAGGCTCAAATGCCCTCCGAAGGAACTAGCTTAAAGTCCGCCCGAAAGGCGGCTTTTATGCTAGTAAATAATAATAATTTTACACATCAGAACAAAGATTGCAGTGTCTGTAATGAGGTGAATATTATTTTTTTCTGAATATCGTTCAGCGAAAAGTCAGGTAAAAAATACACTTATTATTCCAATGAACGGGTCGTAGCGAAAACCTGTTTTCAAAAACACCCAAGGCGTACATGGACACGGAGAAGCTTAAGAGGAAAAAAAACCCAAAGAAATCGACTAAATAACCACCAATAAGAGATTCAGGAATGCAATTTTAAACTGCAAAATATATCCAATAGCCGACTGCGGGAGTGATTACCTTCTAGAGATCTGTAAACTCAGAGTAAAACTAAAGAAATTGAAGATGGCCAAGACAGCACCTAAATAACAGTACAAATCTGTTATATGATATCTATTCTCCTATATGGCATTGAATGCTGGACAATCTCATCAAAGACGTAGAAGAGACTTGAAGCAACAGAAATGGGGTTCTACAGGAGGAAGCTGAGAATACTATGGACGGAATGTGTGAGCTACGACGAATTTTGAGAGAAAATGGAAGCAAATAGTGAACTTATACTTAACATCAGGAAGAGACAGTTGAAATTGATAGGGCGCATAATGAGGAAAGAGGGCTTGGAAAATCTAACACTCATAGGGCAGATTTCAGGCAAGAGGGATAGAGGAAAACAAAGCATAACATAATGAGTTTGAGTAAATGGATGGCAGAACAAGGTTTAGGAGAAATAACAAAAAGACAAACATTCATAAGAACTATGAAGGATAGGACATTTTGGAAAGCCATGAACGTCTATGTCCTATAGGGACATGACACATAAAGACTAAAAACAAAAGACTATATGAACAGAAAAGAGATATTTTAAATAACAACACGTAAAACGCATTGGTTGTTCACAGTAACAAAATGGACCA